AGACATTGACATACTGACTTCGCATCACCCTTTTTACCCCAGTGGTTTAAACCAACCTCTGACGTACGAGATAAAGTTTAACGATCACGAAAAAGTAGTCAACAGTTCAGATACGGCGGCGATGTATTCTATCTCAGACTTGTCTCTCGAATACGAAGTGGTGACCAACAGAGACCTAGCTATCACCATCAGGAATAAACACAAGGGGTTAATGCAATATCTGTTTGATAAAATCCACTCGCTAGAAGTTAGATCCGTCAACAAATCGGACACGCTTTGGAACGTCAGCGTCAATCAACCCATCAGGAGTCTCAAGGGTATTTTGTTTTTGTTTAAAGATCCCGCGGTCAAAAATCCGCAGCGATTTTACAATCCAAAAATAACCAAAACATCGGTGACTGTAGAAGGTAAACCCAATCAACTCTACAGTCAAGGCATGTTTCAGTATCAACACTGGAATGAAATCAACAAGTTCTTTGGAGACAGCGATACCGAAAGCGGGCGCGGAGTAGCTAAAGACTTGAATTTGACGGGTTTTGACCTCGGAGACTACCTAAAAGACAAGTACGGTCTGTGGCTCGATTTTAGAAGTAACGACGACAACTCCGCTCACGGATCCGGTAGGAAACTCGGAGACGGAGGAGGCATCAACATTCAATTTAACAGAGAAGCCGAAAGTCAAGGTGACCTCACGATGTACGTATTTTTGGTCATGGATGCTCAATTGAACTTGGAAGACGGGAATTTTAAATCTCTGTTAAGTTAAAATGACACAACCGCATTGCGCTTTAATCGTCGGCAAAACAAATTCGGGCAAAACCAAATGGATTTTGGATCTGTTAGAGTCAGACTATAAAAATACATTTGAAGCGATAGTCATCATTTGCCCTACCATATTTAAAAACAAAACGTACATCGAAAGAAAGTGGATTCAAGCAGATCCCGAGGTATACCTCTGCGATCCGGAATTGTACAAGATGACGCTCAACGAAGCGATCGATTTTTACAGGAAAATATTCGAAGGTGTTGCCACGCTGTTTATCGTGGACGATTGCTCTTCGGATCAAGAGATTAAATATCGTAAAAAGACGTGCGCGCTAAGCAAGATGGCGTTTAGCGGAAGACACATAAATCACAGCTGTTGGTTACTGACCCAAAAGTACAACAGCGTTTTAAAAGATTATAAAGAAAACACGGCTTGGTTGGCGTTATTTTACTGCAAAGATAAAACATCGTTTGATCAAGCGTTAGACGAAAATGACGTCGTACCCATTGAAGAACGAGATTATATAAAACGACGTTTAAGAGATGTGAAATATAGTAAATTGGTCGTATACACCGAACCTCCAGTTAGTTACGAGCTACTTGAGTAGGTCAATAACATAGCTCATCAACAAATAGGACCTAGCTCATCAACAAATATGACCTAGCTGCTTAACTAAAATAACCTAGCTGCTTAACTAAAATAACCTAGCTGAGTAATAACCTATTCAACAAGCTACACAGGTATTACAATTTGTTAATCAACAAACGTCAACAAAATTATATTTTGCTGTTAGTAAATGATAGCAATATTCGAGTATTTGCAGTTTTTGGCTATTATCGTCATATCGATTAATTTATCGTTTTACACCTACGAGTACCTTTGCCTTTGTAACAAAGTTGCAAAAGCTACAACAAAATTAAATTCGTTTCTAATTAAATGGAAGACCTAAAACTTGCTTTAACAAACGAACAAGATCACAACGCAGAACATAAAGATCGTTTGTGCGGTGTCGTAGCAGCCGGAAACTCTAGAAAGTACTTGGGAAAGGAATACACCGTTAAACATATCGAAGCTCTTTGACAGTAAAGAACTCGAAAAGCTGTATCATTTGTACGAAACTAAATTTGGAAATGAAATTGTTAAAACCGTTGGTAAATACACTTTAAGTCTATTTTCGAGAGTGTTAGCTGTGGTTACACCCGTACAAGTTTTAGGATATAACGTCACTATAGATTCTGAAGAAGAACTCACCAACGACTTGAGTTCCGATCCTATTATCAGCGCGAGTATGGCTGGTATGTTGAGCGACGTTTGTTACAAGTACGGAACTTTAATATCACCCCTAGTTGCTACGATAATCACAACAAAACATTTGAAATTTAATAAACCTAATATAATAAATGGAAGATCAGAAAACAGCGATCACAGCTCAACCAGCAGAGACAGAGACGCCTCAACCGATAAAAACAACGTCATCACCGACGGTAACGAGAGTGACCAAGACTAAAAATCCTAAACGAATTCAGCAGGGTAAAGCTTTAGCCGAGCACAATAGACAGATGAAATTAAAATTAGCAAAAATGAACGTAACATCGGACGAAGCTACGAGCTCACCAGACTACAACTCTTGGGCGATGTGGGGTGCAATAGCGTCCATAATAGGAGTGGGGCTGCTGGTACTAAAAAGTAAGGTGACTGCGCCGGTAGTACAGCCAGTGCCGGTAGTCACGCAACCCACTACACCCAGCGCCCCCAAAACGCTAGACATGGAATAAACAGCAATTTAAAAATTGTTATATTAAAAACGATGAGTAACTTTGACACCAACGGAATAGCTAATACGATTTATCACGGAGCCGTCATATCGGGTCTTTCGATGGGATACGCCATGGTAGGAAATAAACTACTCAAAATGAAAGCGCCGGATTTAGGTAAACTAAGCGTAGAAGATGCGGGTAAATTGACGGGTATTATAAGTGGAGCTCTGGCCACGCAAAATTGGTTGGTGGCCCAGGGTATACTACCGGGCAGTATAATGAAAACGGTATAATTTAAATAGGTTTATTAAATAAATGGCTGAAGGAGGATTTGACTTTGAGCCCGTTGATGATTACGATTACGATGACGATGATGATGTAGCAGAGACCAATCTGGACGACAACTTTGATACTCCTGCACCACCAATCCTCACTACCGACATAGATGACGTTTTAGATCAAGGAAGAAGCATGGTCACTAATGGGCGCGTTGATGAGTTTTACGATACCTATAACATATACGAAAAACCAATATCTCCGAGATACGAAAAATTTATTCTAAAAAAAAACGGTTTATTTTATGACACTGGTAAAGGCTTACTAAGGTTAACGGATCAAAGAAAACCAGACAGATTCTTGTCTCTGAGGACTATAGAGTTAAATATAAGAAAGATGGGTTTAAACGGTAGAGATTTTATTAGAAAGGAATTAGGCTTTACGCATTACGAACGTAAGACACTCAGTGACGATCAAAGTCAACAACTGCGATCGATACAACCCGAGAGTATCCCCATGACAGAACTACCCAGAGTCACCGATGAGGTAATCGAGATTATAGACGATTTAGAACAAGACACCGGCGCTCAAACGGAAGGATTGAATTACAGAGAACTCCAGGGTTTAGACAAAACTCTTCAGACGTTGAGAGGTAACCTAGAACTTAATTTAGCGCGTCTCACAGAACTAGACCGAGAGATTGCAGCCACGAGGCAAGAACTCGACGAATCTCACAGCGAAGAGGGTCGACGAGAGTTAAACGATAAATTGAGCGACTTGAACGTTGAAAGATCCGCCAGATTAGAAGCCGCAAAAGCCAACGAACGAGGGCTCAAAAGTCAGATCGCTAGAATCAAAGAAACGATTAATAAAATATTAGGCGGCGACACGACTCTGGCAGAAAAGATTAGAACTCGATAAATCGATCATTTATTATACCACCCTCTGTTTATATTATTTTGATATCCATTAGCGCCCTCTATTGATTTTGTATTATAATTGAACTTGGACTCGATAAAACTATCATTCATACGTTCTCTTTATTTGATATTCATATATTATAATTTATACAGTAAAAAGCCACTCCGAGTGGCTTTTTCGTTGTTATTCAAATTAACTCATTTAAATAGCTTTTCATACATCTTAATATATACAGTAAAAAGCCACTCTGAGTGGCTTTTTCGTTGTCATTCAAATTAACTCATTTAAAAAGCTTTTCTGACATCTTAATATATACAGTAAAAAGCCACTCCGAGTGGCTTTTTCGTTGTCATTCAAATTAGCTCTTTTAAATAGCTTTTCATACATCTTAATATATACAGTAAAAAGCCACTCTGAGTGGCTTTTTCGTTGTCATTCATATTAGCTCTTTTAAATAGCTTTTCATACATCTTAATATAAACAGTAAAAAGCCACTCTGAGTGGCTTTTTCGTTGTCATTCATATTAGCTCATTTAAATAGCTTTTCATACATCTTAATATATACAGTAAAAAACCACTCCGAGTGGCTTTTTCGTTGTTATTCAAAGTAGCTCATTTAAATAGCTTTTCATACATCTTAATATATACAGTAAAAAGCCACTCCGAGTGGCTTTTTCGTTGTTATTCAAAGTAGCTCATTTAAATAGCTGTTTGGTTTGTTATAATATATACAGTAAAAAGCCACTCTGAGTGGCTTTTTCGTTGTCATTCAAATTAGCTCATTTAAATAGCTGTTTGGTTTGTCATATATCAACAGGTTTTTACTCAAGGTCCACACTGGCCACAGTTGCAAAGCACAGCATGTGTCCATTTTGATCCTACTTCTAAATTACTTGTAAAATAGTTTACAATATGCTTTTTATTTTTTCTGAAGAACGTTAAGGGTAGGCAACAGTGCAGTAATTGCGGGTACTTCTTGACGAGGTCGTAGAAGTCTCTGTGTGTTTTTGCCCAAGTTTTTTTTTATCTTACAATTGTTTTTCAACCAAGTGTTGAAGTTTGCTGAAATTACCTTCCCTCTTTTCTTATCCCGCCGAAAGGTTTTAAATGATATTTCCAACCAGTGTCCCATATTAGCTGCATTTCTGAGAGTCCCATTTTCAGACATGTTATAAATTTTACTACATGACTTTACACACCCCTCCAAATCAGATAAACTCCTTTCCATATCAACTACGGTTACGCTAGGGACAACCCTGTCATTACCTCCCTGTTGCCTGTTATAATTTTCCTTAATTTCATGATAAATTTCTTTTGGATCAACAGTCTTTCTAATTACAGGAATGTCGGGCTGATCCACCTCCATCTCGTCAATCTCATCTTCGCCATCAATATACATTTTTAAAATAGGTAATGGAGGTGGATTGACTAAATCAGGCGTTTGTGATAAAACCTGTTTAAGTTCATCAAGCCGTCCAGCGTCCAAAAGTGCCTTCGCATTCTTCAACTGCTGAGTCAGCTCTCCTAATTTGGCCACGATCCATTCACCCACAGTGTTGACCATGCTGTTTGCCAATGTGACGGAATCTTGCCCGTATGTGACATCTACAACACTAGATGGGAAGTTCATCTGAAAAAAAAAAGAGAAATAGGCCTTAATAAGTAAATGTTGTTACACACAAACATACAGTAATAATAATTTGGGGCCTAATCATCCTTACTCGCATCTGGCATGCTAAATTGCAAAAGACGCAACTACAACGTGTTCGGGGCCGCTGACAAGTAAAGACGCCTATGGTTTTCGCCTTTTACACACAAATCACCCTGACATATTGGACACCTGATGTATAAAAAATACACGTTATAAGCGTATTATAATTACCTTTGAAAGTTGGTCTGTTGGTAGTTTAGCTGCTCGTATTCGGAAATGAAGCTATACAGTTGTACAGTGCTGTCGAGTCTGGATATGATTAGATACCACTGAACTCCGCCTTATAAATCCGACTGGCCATCCGCTGTGAGGGTATCTGGCTTATATAGGAACTAAAAATAGCAACCATTGTTTGCTTCTGACGTTGCGATGAGTCATATCCTGGCTGCCCCAACTAACAAAAGCAATTCATCACGGTCCATTGAATTTCAATAGATGTTTACCCCCAACTGCAAAAGTGTGTCACCCCATAGAGCTGGGTCCTAGCTCTATGGTCACCCTGAGTCACTTCATATTTTGCAAGTCAGGGTTGGAGTAGACTTGTACGAGTCGTATTTAACACAAGCTCAAAAATGAAAAATATAAATATAGAGGGCCTGGCCTTATTTCGAGACTGAGATATTGAGAGAGATATTTGGGAGGGAGATCATTGGGAGAGAGAGATCATTGGGAGGGAGAGGGAGATCATTGGGAGGGGCGGGTGGGGTGGGGGCAGAGATCATTAGGAGGGGGTGGGGGTGGGGGCGTGGCCAAGGGGGGAGAGAGGGGGGCAAATTATTGGGGTTGGTCTCGTACCCCCCCATACCTTCTACTACAATTAGGTTGTTAGCCATTCAGTGAATGAGAGTGCGACTGTGACAGCTGAATCTTCTTTGAAGTACATCGACGGATCAATCACCCATTTAACACAGAATCCTTACCGACCACACGTCTATTGAGAGACTGTTAAGTATGTTGTGTTGGTACTTCATACTGTCCTGTTGTTACCAAAATTCAAATAATAAGAAACCAGAAGGTAAAAACAATTCATCATAAAAAATGGACATTTACACATGAACTCTTTGTTTTCGAAACAATTAAAATGATAGCTTTAAGAGTAACATATCAGCTGTAGGTTTGTAAGAAAACAAAACTATCCTAAATTGAAGATGGGCCTTATCGTAAGTCCGACGCCTCATAAGTCCAAAATTTCGGAATTATGAGGCGTCGGATTTATGAGGCATCGGACTTATGTAAGTAGTGGAGGGGGACTTCTTAGAACAGTTTGACCTTGGGCATAGAAATATGTAAAGGTCACATAAATATGTAAATATGAAAATATGTAGATATAAATATTAATTAAGGGATGTGGAAATTGTTAACACAGTTTGACCTAATGAATGGATGGGATGAATAGGGAATAGGTATGGGTATAAGGGACCGGGTACAGTTTGACCAATTCTATGGGAAAGATTGCATAAGGTATGGAAAAAATATATATATATTTTTATGGTACATTTTGGATCTTAGCCCGAATATGAGTTTCATACGTTAGTCCCTGTGAACGACCAGCTGGTCGGATCTTTAATCCCCCAACAATAGACGGGAGAGGGCGCGTGCCAAGTCAGCGCACTAGTATTGTTACGAAGTTAATCCGATCGATACAAAAAGTAATTGGATTTCCGAATGCTCGAAAGCAGAAAGCAGCGATAGATGGCAAAAATGAACGTATGAATGTCTATTTGAAGAATTATTTTAAAGTCATTTTTATTGGGTTTATGGGTATTGTGCAACGTTGCGTTTTCCAAGGTATAAACAAACACTCACCGCAGCATACTTGCAGGGTACAGCCTGTGTCGGCCATGGGGGTATATGAGAAATCCACGATCCATAATCCATGCGTCTGTACGGAGACCGGTGGTCGATCACCCCTCGATGATCGTACCGATCCTGGAGCAAATAAATAACTCCGTCCGTGCGCCTATATTCCTCTTGTTAATCGATACAATACCAATTACACTTTTCTACACTGCCACCAGAATCATCCAAGTAAAAATATATGTCTGTGCGCGGTGATCGTAAAAAAGGGAAGGTTTTGGCATCAGCCAGAGCAAATGCTAGTACACATGGACACTACTGTATACATTACGGCCGTCCGATCAGATAGCGCTCCAGTTTTCTTAATCCGTGACGGCTAAATTATCGATTAGGCTCTATAGTCTGCAGAGGCGCGTACAATAAGGAATGGATTCAGTGGTTTAAAGCCATAACAAAACGTGCGGGCATGTGGTTTTTAAAGGGAACTACGGCCTGGAAAGTGCCCGATTGAGTGTATAGGAATAACACAACCATCATTGTGCATTTTGTAATATTTCGTACTAGAACGACCCCAAAACCAAGCTATAGCCTATCCATAGTTACAAATTCAGTCGTAACGTGGTAAAAATGGTGCCCCTTTAACGCTGCTTGTACAGGAAAGCACCGAACACTAGTTGTACCTCCGTGCCGGATTTGTTTACAAAATCGAGGATGACTGTGTTTTATCTACGAGTATTTTACGGGGGTTATTTAGAGGGCGTGTCCAAGCGCTAATTTTATGACTGAGAGTAGGCTTTTCTGATTGATAAGACAACACAAACAAAGAAAAATACAAATGCAGAAAGTATATACGTTATGACATTAATTGCTTTATTGACTTTATTATTGCTTTATTAAAACACTCGTGTTTTTATTCGTCTATCCCAATGTATTTCTTCGCAATTATATCGTCATTGTAATGTTTACTAGTCTTTAATCGTCACTGTCTTCCTCGCTGACGTCTTCTTCATCTTGATGGAACAATCCGTCAAATTTCATCTGGTGTTTAGGCATAATTCTGCTGAGAGCCTTTTGTACGCTAATGCCCTTATATATTTTTTCTTCGAGATTGTCCACAATATCTTGATGAGAATCGTTATCTTTCAGATGTAGGTAGCTTGACAGAAAATCCCTGTACTTGTCAAAAAAGATTTGCTTGACTGCCCAGAGGGTCTTCCTATCGGCCTTTTCCTTGGCCTGATCTTCACCCATACCCTCGTTGATGTACTTTTCATGTTTTTCACTCCACATGTCACGAGTCGCTTCTTTGGCCTCTTCCAACCAGTCTTGGAAAGTAGCATTGTCTTCTAATTCAGAACTAGACTCATCTTCATCGTCATCTTCTACCTCCGAGTCCGTTTCCGAGCCCGATTCATCCACGTCAGGATGATCAGATTGAATAACCTCAATTTCAGAATCATCGTTAACCCCATTCATTTCAGATTCATCTTCAGCATGAGCGTTTTCGGTATGTCGCCAGAGATTATATCTCCGTCTAAAGCTTTTATCACACTGGTTACAAGCATGGGGTTTGACTGCAGAAAAAGTATTCATGTTGAAGTTATAAAGGCTGATTCACGAATGACAAGAAACGGATGAATTGGTTTAATATATATTGTGCCGAGACCTGTCTGTTTGAGCTCATCCTGCTCTTTACCCTGCTCATCCTGCTCTTTTCCCTGCTCATCCTGCTCTTTACCCTGCTCATCCTGCTCTTTACCCTGCTTACCTGCTCTTTTCCCTGCTCATCCTGCTCTTTACCCTGCTCATCCTGCTCTTTACCCTGCTCATCCTGCTCTTTACCCTGCTCATCCTGCTCTTTACCCTGCTCATCCTGCTCTTTTTCCTGCTCATCCTGCTCTTTTCCCTGCTCATCCTGCTCTTTACCCTGCTCATCCTGCTCTTTACCCTGCTCATCCTGCTCTTTTCCCTGCTCATCCTGCTCTTTACCCTGCTCATCCTGCTCTTTACCCTGCTCATCCTGCTCTTTTCCCTGCTCATCCTGCTCTTTACCCTGCTCATCCTGCTCTTTACCCTGCTCATCCTGCTCTTTACCCTGCTCATCCTACTCTTTTCCCTGCTCATCCTGCTCTTTACCCTGCTCATCCTGCTCTTTACCCTGCTCATCCTGCTCTTTACCCTGCTCATCCTGCTCTTTTCCCTGCTCATCCTGCTCTTTTCCCTGCTCATCCTGCTCTTTTCCCTGCTCATCCTGCTCTTTACCCTGCTCATCCTGCTCTTTACCCTGCTCATCCTGCTCTTTACCCTGCTCATCCTGCTCTTTACCCTGCTCTTCCTGCTCTTTACCCTGCTCATCCTGCTCTTTTTCCTGCTCATCCTGCTCTTTTCCCTGCTCATCCTGCTCTTTTCCCTGCTCATCCTGCTCTTTACCCTGCTCATCCTGCTCTTTACCCTGCTCATCCTGCTCTTTACCCTGCTCATCCTGCTCTTTACCCTGCTCATCCTGCTCTTTTCCCTGCTCATCCTGCTCTTTACCCTGCTCATCCTGCTCTTTACCCTGCTCATCCTGCTCTTTACCCTGCTCATCCTGCTCTTTTCCCTGCTTATCCTGCTCTTTACCCTGCTCATCCTACTCTACGGCATAGAGTAGGATGAGCAGGGAAAAGAGCAGGATGAGCAGGGAAAAAAGCAGGATGAGCAGGGTAAAGAGCAGGATGAGCAGGGTAAAGAGCAGGATGAGCAGGGTAAAGAGAAGGATGAGCAGGGAAAAGAGCAGGATGAGCAGGGTAAAGAGCAGGATGAGCAGGGTAAAGAGCAGGATGAGCAGGGAAAAGAGCAGGATGAGCAGGGTAAAGAGCAGGATGAGCAGGGTAAAGAGCAGGATGAGCAGGGAAAAGAGCAGGATGAGCAGGAAAAAGAGCAGGATGAGCAGGGTAAAGAGCAGGATGAGCAGGGTAAAGAGCAGGATGAGCAGGGTAAAGAGCAGGATGAGCAGGGTAAAGAGCAGGATGAGCAGGGTAAAGAGCAGGATGAGCAGGGTAAAGAGCAGGATGAGCAGGGTAAAGAGCAGGATGAGCAGGGAAAAGAGCAGGATGAGCAGGGTAAAGAGCAGGATGAGCAGGAAAAAGAGCAGGATGAGCAGGGTAAAGAGCAGGAAGAGCAGGGTAAAGAGCAGGATGAGCAGGGTAAAGAGCAGGATGAGCAGGGTAAAGAGCAGGATGAGCAGGGTAAAGAGCAGGATGAGCAGGGAAAAGAGCAGGATGAGCAGGGAAAAGAGCAGGATGAGCAGGGAAAAGAGCAGGATGAGCAGGGTAAAGAGCAGGATGAGCAGGGTAAAGAGCAGGATGAGCAGGGTAAAGAGCAGGATGAGCAGGGAAAAGAGTAGGATGAGCAGGGTAAAGAGCAGGATGAGCAGGGTAAAGAGCAGGATGAGCAGGGTAAAGAGCAGGATGAGCAGGGAAAAGAGCAGGATGAGCAGGGTAAAGAGCAGGATGAGCAGGGTAAAGAGCAGGATGAGCAGGGAAAAGAGCAGGATGAGCAGGGTAAAGAGCAGGATGAGCAGGGTAAAGAGCAGGATGAGCAGGGAAAAGAGCAGGATGAGCAGGAAAAAGAGCAGGATGAGCAGGGTAAAGAGCAGGATGAGCAGGGTAAAGAGCAGGATGAG